CTCCACAGCTTAGAGGAAACACGGCTTGTATCTCAATGCCAGGCTTACGCTTGAGCACAAGAACGGTTTTTATTTGGAATCTGCCTGGGCATTCACCATGCCAGGTCCACGATTCGCTCTACGGAGGGAGAGGAGCTTTTTATGCCATCAATTTATTTGGAGAATGTGATTGTCTTATCTGGTATTTGTATTTATTTTACTATTGGTTGTATTAATTATACTATTTAGTGAGGTTTATAAGATTATGCATGGGATAGAGCAGGTCGAGAAAGAAGTCCTTTTCTCCCTTTCTCACAATATGAGAACTCTGATGAAACTGCTGAGCAATCAGGTTAGAACAGATAAAAGGAAGTCCTTCTTCACCCAAAGAGTGATGAACACATGGAATTCACTGCCACAGGAGGTGGCGGCGGCTACAAGCATGGACGGCTTCAAGAGGGGATTGGATAAACATATGGGGCAGAGGTCCATCGGTGGCTATTAGCCACAAGGTATAGATAGGAACTCTCGGTCTGGGGCAAGTGATGCTCAGTATTCTTGGTGCTTGGGGGGGGGGGCAACAGTGGGAGGGCTCCTAGTGTCCTGGCCCCACTGGTGGATCTCCTGATGGCACCTGGTATTTTTGGCCACTGTGTGACAGAGTGTTGGACTGGATGGGCCTTTGGCCTGATCCAACATTGGCTTCTCTTATTTTCTTATGTATATCTTTAGTCCGTTCTGTGTTTGAAATATGACGTACACTGCCCTGAGCCCTTTGGTGGAGGGCAGTCTATAATAATAATAATAATAATTTTCACACATGAAGCTGTCTTAAACTGAAACCGAATCAGACCCTGGGTCCATCAAGGTCAGTATTGTCCGCTCAGACTGGCAGCTGCTCTCCAGGGTCTCAGGCGGAGGTCTTTCACATCACCTCCTGCCTGACCCTTTTAAATGGAGATGCCGGGGATTGAACCTGGGACCTTCTGCACACAAAGCAGATGCTCTCTCACTGAGCTACAACCCCTCCCCATTTTATATTTATTTATATCTTGCCTTTCCCCCCAGTTGGGGACCCAACGCAGCTAACATCATTCTCCTTGTCTCCGTTTTACCCTCACAACAACCCTGTAAGGTAGATTAGGCCGAGTGTGTATCACTGGCTCAAGGTCACCCAGCAACCTCGCGTTGCACAGGCGGGGACTCGTCCTGGGGTGTCGCCGATCCTAGCTGGACACTTTTAACCACGCTGGCTCTCAGCTTCCAGCATAGGCCAAGGAATCATACCTGGCACTGCAAAGAGGAAAAGTGTTAGGGGAGAGACGAGTCGATGCCTTTGACCCGGTATGTAAGCCAATTTAGCTGTCTGTGTTGCCACAATAAGACGCGGCTGTCAGACCAGAGACACGGCCAAAGGCACAGGCTCCCCTGCGTCACATGGCTCTGGACAACGTATTTATGTCTTTCCCGTTTCCCTAAGTAGAACGGAGCCTTAAAAAAGAGAGAGAGAGAAAGGGAGATTCTGAGACACTTTGATTATGACTTCCTGCTACATCAACCACATCTGAGCCAGGGAGGGAGAGAGGAGTGTTTCTATCCCAGGCGCGATACAGAATGGTGTATCGTTCTGTATCAAGGGGTAGAGTGTTTCGCTTTCATTTAAATCCATTCCCAAGTGCTGGGACAGAGAGAGAGAAAAGAAAGAAAACCTTCTGCCCCCGCCCCAGGTCAAGAACCAGGAATCGAACAATGGATTTTTATTTTTTTTAGCCGCCACTGTAAATTAATGGCTTCGGGAGTTTACGTCTCTTGCCATTGACGCCACTGGCGAAAAAAACCAACCAACCAACCAACCTAAATGAGTGGAAAAGAAAACCTCAACTCGGCTTAGCCAAACTTTGCTCCCCCCCCCCCAATAACACCTCAGCCCGGATGGATTTTGCTGAGTGGTCTGCCCAGTTTCACCCTCCCCCCCACCGCCACACCATTTGTGGCTCTGATCTATGTGCGCTGAGGACAGAAAGGGGCCAGCTCAGCACATCGGGTGCCCTTGCTTCAAGAAGGACCTTTGGGGTTTGGCTTTTTTAAAAAAAAAAAGAGAGAGGAAAAAAATTACTTTTCTTGCCTGAAGTCTCCTGTGCAAAGGCAGAAAGAGGCCAGTGGGTGGGGAAGTTGGAGGACTGGAATGTGCTTTGTGAGGGGTGGGGGGAGGTGGTCTCACCTGGTCGCTTGCAGGCAATCCAACTGAGGCCCTGGCAACTGGCTTCCCTCACCCCCTCCGCCATTTTCAGCCCCCTACCACTGGCCTCAGCAACACCTGGGCCCAGCATAGCCTGGTGGACTAGACCCAGGAAGAACAAGCACGCTGTATGATTTTTCCAGACTAATTTCTGCGGTCTTTGGAACAGGGTTCGGGATTTTTTAAACCTTGCTAAGCATGATAGAAGGGGAGAAGAAAGGAAAACTGAAGGTGAGGGGGGCAGATAAAGGTACAGCTGGGGGGCGGGAAGGGGAGATTGAAGCAGGAAAGGGGGAGAGGCTACAGGGGCTGCCAGGGAAGGGGGAAATAGTGGCAGAGGGGGGAAATGAGATGCCTCCCTGCGAGTCCTCGTGGGTCCCTTTGCTTGTCTCTTCTAATATGTGTTCTCTCCACAGCAGGGGCTAGGGAGATGCCCCAGGGGTTCCGTGGCGATCCCCAGAAATGCACTCAACACTGCTTCCAAAGAGCGGGTTCGGCTAAAAGGAGATCTATCCTGGGATCTTCTCAAACCATGGGCAGGCGGCTTAGGATTGCAGCCTCAAGACATCCTCTTGCTCCTCTCCTCTGGAGAAACGAAACCCGATCTCCATCAGGACAGAATCAAGTTTCACAACAAGAGAAGCAAGGGATCCAGTGTGTGTGTGGGGGGGGTGTTTACCCTCCAACCAAGCCATGCGCTCATGTTTCTTTCTCTTATTTCCCTCGGTGACATAAAACCCAGGCAAATGATTAACGCTGTCAAACAAAATGAGAGAAAAAAGTCTCCTTGGGCTCTCGATAATAAAGAAACATATCGGGAGAGAGTGACGCTGGTGTTTTGAGAAAATGCCAGGGAGGAATGACAGGGAGGCCTAGGACAGCTTAAACAGAGAATAAAGTCTTTCTTAAAAAATAAAACTTTGTTTTCTGCTACTGTAGGGGGGGGTGTCTCTGGAGAACTGGAAAATGGCAGATTTTAAATGCTAGGTTGGCGCTAGGAGTCATGAAAGGAGTCATGAAAGGGAATCAAAAGTTTGTAGCTCATGAGGAAAAAGATATTTGGGTCTTCTTATGGGAGAAAGGAAGGGAGAGGGGATGTAGAAGTGTGAGGGCTGTAAACGGGAATTTGTATGGGGGGGGGAGAAGGTGGAAGGAGGGAAAAGCCCCATGCATAGCCCTGACCCAAGGAGGAATGGAGTTAGAATGTAGGTTTTTTGGGGGAGGAGGAACTGAATTGTTATAGAAGTGACTGATAGGGGGTGGGGGTTAGATTTTGGAAAAGACTGTGGGGGAAGCAATGGGGGGAAAGTGTGCATGGGGGGTGGTGGAAACCAGCCAGCCAACAAACAGGCCGGGTGCACAGTTAACTATTATGTGTGCTTTGCCAATTTTTGGTTTTATTTTATTTTGATCCCCCCCCCCCCCCCCCCGCACACGCTCTCCTCTCGGCAGGCAAGCCAAAGAGTGGGTGTGTTTAGAGTGAGTGTGAGAAGGGGGGGGTGGCGGAGAAAGAACAGGGCTGGAGGTAAAACGCCATGTTTGTCCAGAAAGGGAACTCAGGAAAGGGGGGAGGGAGGGAGAAAGCCAGGAGGAGGGAGGCGAAACGGTAAGAAAGCCGGGAAGGTGTTAGGGTATGCGCAGGGGGAGGGAAATGAAGTCAGACGGCAGGGCAGGAAAGGGGGAAAGGATGGAATATTGAGGCTAAGAAAGAGACCCTGAGATAAGTAAAGGTCTGTGCAGGGAAGCCCTGGGTTCAAATGTCGCCCGTGACATTGAACAAAGCAAACTATTTCATTGTGCTTGGTAAGCCACCTGAGGTCGAAAGGCAGTCTCAACCACTATTTTCTCCAAGCTCAAAGGGGGGTGGGGGGGATACCGCCTCCGCAGGGCTGCTTCAAAGAATCCAAAGAATTCACACTTTAAAGTGAAGCAGGCAAAAAGAAAGGGGGGGGGAGAATTAGGCAAGCAAAGGGGTGTGTGTGAAAGAGAAAGGAATAAGGCTGACCAGGAAGTAGAGAAACAAAATAAGGTTGGGGGGGGGGAGAGAAAGAGGTCAAAAAAGGAAAAGAAAGACCAGGAGATGGAAGAGAGTGGAAAATAGGGAACAAGAGGAATGGGAGAGAGGGTAGAAGGAAATAAGAGACAAGGGGGAATGGGAGAGGAGGTAGAAGGAAATAAGGGAAAAGAGGAATGGGAGAAGGGGTAGAAGGAAATAAGGGGAAAGAGGAAAGGGAGAAGGGGTAGAAGGAAATAAGGGAAAAGAGGAAAGGGAGAAGGGGTAGAAGGAAATAAGGGAAAACAGGAAGGGGTAGAAGGAAATAAGGGAAAAGAGGAAAGGGAGAAGGGGTAGAAGGAAATAAGGGAAAACAGGAAAGGGAGAAGGGGTAGAAGGAAATAAGGGAAAACAGGAAGGGGTAGAAGGAAATAAGGGAAAAGAGGAAAGGGAGAAGGGGTAGAAGGAAATAAGGGAAAACAGGAAGGGGTAGAAGGAAATAAGGGAAAAGAGGAAAGAGAGAAGGGATAGAAGGAAATAAGGGAAAAGAGGAATGGGGTTGAGGAGAAAATAAGGGGGAAAAGAGAAATGGAAAAGGGAACAGAAAGGTGTTTGTGGGGAGGGGTCCCAACCCAGGCAAGACCCAGCTCAACTTGTGTGTCCCAACAGTTCAGCTGGGGGGGGGCGTCCCCTCCCACCGCAGGCCTTGGGGGGGCCCTCTGAGCCCGTGCAGAGCGCCCAGCAGACAGAGCCGTGTCGTCCCCGTCCCCCCCCCCGCCCCCGTCTCACCTCTTGGCCTGGGGCTCGGCGGGGTTGCGGGCGCGCTGGCGCCGGTTCTTGAACCAGTTGCTGACCTGGGTGAGGGAGAGGCCGGTGAGCTTGGCCAGGTGGCGCTTCTCGGCGGGCGAGGGGTAGCGGTTCTGCCGGTAGAGCTCCTTGAGGGCGTTGCGGGACTTCTCCTTGAAGCAGTAGACGGTCTCCTCGCCGTCCCAGATGGTGCGCGGCAGCGGGAACTTGCGGCGGAGGCGGTACTTGTCGACGGCGCCCAGCGGGCGGCCGCGGGCCCGCTCGGCCTCGCTGTAGCGCGCCTTGTACCAGAGCTCCTGGAGGAGCGGGTGGCTGGCGGCGCCGAAGCTGTGGCCCTCCAGGATGCCGTAGAGCTCGGCGTAGAGGCCCCGGTGGAAGGCCACCAGCGCCCGCGCCTTCAGCAGGCTCTCCTCGCCCCGCAGCAGCTCGCCCGGCGGCAGCGACCAGAGGAAGCGCGCCAGACGGTCCAGGTGGCCGCCCTGCTGCAGCGCCTCGCACACGCAGGCGACGTGCTCCGGCGAGAAGGCCAGCAGGCCGGGCGGCGACGACGACGACGAGGAGGCGGGCGACGACGACGACGGCGCCGGGGAAGCCGCACGGGGGGTCCCGGACAGCAGCTCCGCTTGCAGCAGGACCCGATCCTGCCTCGCCGCCGCCGCCACCGCCGCTTCCTCCTCCTCCTCGTCTTCGTCCTCCTCCCTTGCAAAAGCAGCTAGAGAAGGGGGAGGCGCCGACGACGGCGAACTTTCCTGCCGCCGGCCCGGCTCCTGCGCCCCGGCCAGCATTTCCAACACGCTCTCTTGCTTGATCGGGATCGTAGCGGCCGCGGGGGAAGCCGAAGACATGTTCCCCCCCCCCTTCCCTCGGAGGACTTTCTCCTCCTCCTCCTCCCCCCCTTC